TCAACCCCTTGCAAGATAGGTTGGACGGTTGGAAGACACACAAACAAACAATTGTTCAAGACAACCAAATCACTGCACCTTTGCAAAAAACATCTACTGCAAAAACAACAGCCTTCAAATGCAGACAGAGACCTGCAAGTGTGGTGCAAATCAAACGACGGATGTCAATTGCTCCGCTCACACCACTGTCATTTGAGAATGCAGTCTCACGTAGAGTCTTCTGACATATCCTCTTTGTGGATAGAGCTCGCAAAGAGTCTGGATCAATGTCAGCAGAAGTGTGCAACGGTTTGTTTTCGTGTTTGTGTTAGTTTATTCCACCAAATCGAAATCTGAAAAACATACAGTACTGCCACCGGCATGGTGTGGGTGACAGCATCGGAGTTTCTATGAAGCTAACTGCCATACGCAAGACTGCTTAACGGCACCTTTAACTTGGTATTAGTGATTAGTGTGTGTCTGCGGAGTCAATATAGTAGTGAGCTGTGTTCAGGGACATCATAAAGTTAGGGTTAAACTTTAAACTGCTTCGCGCAATCACGGGGATTCTCAACAGGTCCAATTTGTTCCGCCTGCTGCACAAATATACCCTCAGGTACCAAGAACGAAATGTGGCAGGGATCCACCTGCATGCTGCTTGTTGTCAGCAGTTTTGATGTAATGCTCCAAGGTAAGATCTAAGGAGATGCCTGTGAGAGGAGGGGAACGCTCCAGCAACACGGCTTCTGTGCCTCCATGTCTGGTGATTCCCAGCTGAATTAGATGGTGACACAGTGAGACTGGAAGACCGGTCTTTGTCTTGTACAGAATCGCAATATAATATACTCATCATTTGCCGCTAGGCTCCGGAGACGAGTAGTGAAATCTTGCATAGTGTTGGATAGGTTCACAGGGTTTCATACGGTTTCATCTTGCTTTAAACACAGAGATTCGACAAAGAATGCACATGATGTATCATAATGTACACAGCTGCATGCCGGGTCATTGGCTGCCTGGAGAGCTTCCTGAGCGACGTCAGGTCTGTGCTGGAATTCGTTCCTTCATCACTCGAAGAACTTGACTTCTTTGTCCACATAGAACTGTTCCTCTTTCGTAACTTACCGATGACTTCTAGGTTGGAGGCCATAACGGTTAGTCACTTAGTCCTGTCATGTCCTGTCTCAGGTCCACACCCTGACGGGACCATGTTCAACACCTCGCCAGCTCCTGGAGTTCGTGCGCTCGCGGAGCTTCAGCCGGACTGATCAGCACTTGTTGCGCATTTGATCGGTTTCAATCTTCCGATGCCATCATATGAACTCATATCTCAAGTGTGCCACTGTCCAGTCCAGTGTTCAAGCTCTAAGCCGATGGCTGCATAGCCATGATGCTCCTCTACCACTGGGACCTGAGTTTCATCGGGTGGCAGCTGCGTCACCCGAGGCCTACATCGACGTTCGCTCCCTGTGACCCTAGTAGCGATGCCCTTTGCTTCTAGTAGCTTCTTGTTCCTAGTAGCATCCTTGTTACTACTAGTAAGGCACTTGTTACTAGAAGCGATGCACTTGTTCCTAGTAGCTTCTTGTTCCTAGTAGTACGGCCAGGAGCCCCAAGTAGCGTCCTTGCTCCTAGTAGCGATGCCAGGAGCCCCTAGTAGCTTCTTGCATCATCTTGCATCTGCATGATTTTTATATTTGGAAATGATGTTGCCTGCTTACGGCCGACCTCTCAACTTGTTACAAACCATCAACTTCATTGTTTGGTCAGTCAAACAGCCATCCTGGGCTCATGCTGCTGTCACCCACACCTGTCCACGAGGAATCAGCCTAGGCAACAGCAAGCCAGTTTTCTTCAACCCGAAATCAACTGAGAGACCACTTTCAACACGCAACCAGGTTACAGAAAATATCAGAAAATGCCCTCGCATCCTTGATTCAGGCCTGGTTTTTTAGAGGCCTGTCACAAGCCAACAATAAAGTTTGAAAATCTGTGTCTGTTATGATAGGTCGCCCAGCATGAGCCCTATCTTCACTTTAGACTGGCCCCTCCTGTCTACTGCACTAGAGTATAGAAGCCGCCGCACTGCTGATAAGGAGCAGCATTTTGAGAATCACTCTGAGCAAACCGGCGGAAAGCTGTACGGAAAGAATTCTTTGCTCCACTTTGAGCTGCTAGCTCCCTTATCGTGGCCGTCCTGCACCAGGATTCTTTCTTTAAACAGGTATCTCAACCTCTTTCGATCTGAACAAAGTCCGAGGATGCTAGCAACATGTGTCAAGAACAACCAACAACAAAGTTGCATTACAGGTGTTGACAGTGCACATCCTTTGCATGGTCACGTGATATCAGCTTACTTAGATGCTGATGCTGAATTTCACAAGACAAGAAAGAGGAAAGCTAATTGCGAAAAGCGTCAGGCAAGGCTGTCCATCATTCAAGAGTCTAATAACGATCTTCCAGATTCCAGGCCTTGAGGATCTTCTTAACGTCATCGGAACTGATTTCAACTCGAGCCTGAACGAAGATTCAGGATGCAGCTTTTCCATTGAAAAAAGAAAGTAACTAATTAGTATGTATATATTAGTATGTTGATCGATCGACATCATCACTCTGAGCTGCCTAGATGTTCTTCCCCATGTTGTGGGTTGTCTCCAACATATATCATATGTAAATATATGCAGTACACCTTACTATTTGTAACAAGAAGCTACTGGGGTGGAGGCCATCGCAAGTAGGTTGGAGGCCATCGCTTCTAGTAACAAGAAGCTATCATTCTAAAGAACTCCAAATACACAACGTCTCTGAGTGCCCTGAGTGCCCGAACCAATTCTTGAGCTCCCACGACCTCCGTCACAAGCTCTGTCTCACCATTTGCTCTGCATCTATACAAACTCACTGAAATTTCAGCATATACCTACGAGATGCCGTTCTCCTTGAATATTTGCGGAAGGTTTCCGCTTCCATCCGCTTCCTATCTTGACCATGTGCCCCCGCCCTAAATAACGGTCAAGTCAAAAGAGCTTCTGTTACTTTCATGCTGCGGCTGACCAGCGACTCAACATGCCCCTTAACATCGACCAAGCGCAGCTCTTGACTCGTTGCACTGCTCCGCTTAAATAGAACATTTTGAAATTCAATCCATGTCGCTTTCATGCCCTCCACATCTTGGAATCTATTTCATGAGCCGAGTCTTCTGGTGTTGTTCAACGAAGGTTGATCTTGAATCTGTTGGGACTTTTTTAATGAGGCAACGAGACAACTCGTGTGTCAGTGGTCCATGTACAATGTGAAAGAACTCGGGATGTGAGACATCCTACAGCAGAAATGAACAAGTGACTCATTTTTTCCGGATGGCACCTTCTGATTCTGGACAAAAAGGAAGAGTTTTTCCTCATCGTCGTCCTCTCAATGCAGGTTAAACAATCAACAGCGGATTGGTGGTTGGATTAGTTGAACCAATCTATATAACCTAACTCTGACCCACAAAAATATCGCATGGACTACTTCAAGGACTGAATTACAAACAGAACTGCAACGTGCGCAATCTGACCTTCCGGAACTGTTCTTGACAAGATTGGAGTCGCAGACTGGAAGCCGCTGAAAGTACGCAGGGCCACGCCGCGATTGGAGTCGACGACGGAAGGCTGCAAACGTTGCATCGCTCATTGATCTTCGTTCTTCTCATCACATTTATCCATATCTATCCTAGTGTTGCTCTTACATGGTCGCTGGGTGAAAGAAACACCTATATATTATATACACTAAACTTCATTTCTGGCTTACCTGTGCAGCTTGTTTCAGACGCAATACTAGCAGTGCAACTCTAAAGTCCGTAAGCAGCGTACAACCTCCAGGATCGCATTGTCAGAATCTGCAGTGTGGGAAAAAGGTGAGCAGCTGTCTTTTTTAGTAACAAGAAGCTACTAGAAACAAGTGCCACGCTAGTAGTAACAAGTGCCTTACTAGTAGTAACAAGAAGCTACTAGGAACAAGTGCATCGCTTCTAGTAACAAGTGCCTTACTAGTAGTAACAAGAAGCTAGTAGTCTTTTTTAGCCCACAGGGGGGGGGTAGGCCGCTAGGAGGGAGATGGAGCTAGTAGCGCACCAATGATTCGGTTCCTAGATTTTTAGGAAAACTTATATAACGATTAGGTAGACAATGCAGCATAGGCAGGAAAGAGAACATAGACCAAATAACCAGTAAAGTTCCATGCGAGTCTGGAACACTTTGGCAAATCCATTTCGATTGTCCTCCCTTCCACAAGGATTTCAACCAGGGGGGCTACGTTTATACTCACCAAAGGGATCCAAAGGGTCCATATGATGTGCAAGGACCACATGCCATGGCAAGAAACTGCACATGTGTTGTGCTTTGAAGGGGAGGCCTACAGCAAGTCCACGGACTCTATGGACTGTCTGGAACCAAAGTCATATTCCCTGGTCGCTCCACATTCAGCGTTTTGGCGCTCCACATCGCCGTGTCTGGCCTAACAATTTGTCTGCAGCATATGTACAGCACCATGTGTGGCCAGAATTTCGGTCAGGTGTCCCGAGCTCGCTGCTTTTTGGGGGACACCCACTTAATGCGAGCCATGGAATTGGTGCGTAGAGTACAAAACTGGGACGCCAGTGTGCCAGCTATCAGACTCAGTCGCATTTCAGGAACTTATGCTTGGGCAGGCCCTAGGATCAATCGTAGGGACACTTCTGCAGCTTGTCCTCGTCAGGCAAAAGAGATACAGCGACGGAGGAGGGGATCTCGGAGTGAAATATGCAGCATACAACATGACACAGAAGCACACTCAAGCAATCTGTATCAAACCCAAAATACCACGCCTGTCGAAAACATGATACGCTTGTCTCAGACTGAAGGCTTCAAGCGTGCAAGTAGACTCTTGATTGATGAAACAGCCCCGTTTGCATTGTCAAACCTCGGTTTTAGCCATTAAGAGTCTACATTGGTGACTGCTCAGACAAGCATCGCACCCTGGGATGCGGATCTGACTCGGCCAGCTGCTGTATCTCTGAGCTGCCCGAACTTGCTGCAGCACCACATCTTCCGAGCGCTTCAACAGCTGAGCGCCGCACGCTCCAGGCCTTGAAAGATTCGCGCTCGGAAGGAAGGTGAATTTGGAAGAATTGCAGGGAATGGCACCGAGGTCTGTGGGAACCGACCATAAACGAAAAATAACGAGAAGGGCCTTTTCTTGCCCGGGGGGGGTCGGCCGCTAGTAGAGGTAGGTTAGCTACAGGTAGCTAGTAGAAGCTAGGTAGCTACTACCTACAAGTAGCTACTACCGACAGGACGCAGGATAGCTCACGCTTCTTCAAGGACGCACTAATGATTTGGTTCCTAATTTTTTAGGGAAACTCAACTAGTAGCAAGAAGCTACTAGGGGCTCCTGGCCTTACTACTAGGAGCAAGGGCGCTACTAGGGCTCCTGGCCTTACTAACTACTAGGAGCAAGGACGCTACTTGGGGCTCCTGGCATCGCTACTAGGAGCATTCTTACCATTAGTAAACTCAATATTCAAAAGTCTTGCTGCTCCAAGCACAGGTTCTCTGTCAGAAAGACTCCGGATCAATGGTGCTACAAGGTCATTGGCCGGCACAGCAACGAGCCGCACAAGCTTTCCCAAGGTTTGAGCTGAAGCTCCACGCACATCTTCCTCTATGTCATCCAAGGCTTCTCCTCAGCTTTGACAACATGTCAGGCGTCAGACTGTCAGAATCACACTGATCCCGATCCTATGCTGAACCAAGCAACGGAGTTGCACCAGTCCACAGGAGGCCGAAGCGCCCAGATTTCCAAGACCTTCAGCTGCACCCCAGCGAACACCTCCATCGTCATCTCCTAGGAGCCTCACCAGCTCTGGAGCACAACGATCTGTACCTTAGATTTCCGAGTCGCTCCACACAGCTGAATGGAGCAACATGGGTCAAATGTTGTCAATACTTGACGAATCATACACACGAACAGTGTGCATGGTTCCAAAATTGACCCACTTATCGGTCAACCTCATGATGTCCAATACCAAGACATGTGAGAAAAGCAATCACCCGGCGACTCACTCTATCGGACTCCGGGCCAACCCGTTCCAAAAGCCCAGGTTGCCCGCGTGGCCAAGCGCTCTAGCGGCAGAACAGCGCACGTCGTCATCCTCGTCCTGCGCGCAGAGCAGCAGAGCCGCCACCACCTCGTCGCTGCCGCGGCCCCGGCGGCCCAGCTTGTCGGCAGCCTTCCAGCGGTCACGTGGGCGGCTGCTTTGCAGTAGCTCAACCTGAGAGCTGCAAGACATGAATTGCTTCTAGGTTGGAGGGCATTGCTATTAGGTTGGAGGTGGAAAAAGGCATTGGACAAATCTATGAACCTGCAGCTTGGACAGGTACGAGTATGGTCAAGTTGTGTGAGTCGCTGGGAAAAATCTACAGTCCACAGGCCCAAGTTGGCCTTATTCCTGAAAAAGCAGTTGCCATGGTTTACACATGTTTACACCGCTATTTAGAAGGGAGGATGATCACAAAACATCGACAGTCGCCTGGTCTAAAGACTGACACTGTTGGCTCAAACAACTGAAACATACTGAGACTGCAACCAGCTGTGTCACGCTTTCCTCTGGACCATCGAACATGGCTCCGTCGTCTTGAACCGAAGGTGGCAATGCAGCAGGGACCAGGATGGGCCTCCCCTCTCAGAAGGGAAAGCATGTGTACGGGGCGGTGTTGACTAGTGACGTGAGGCATTTTTGGCGTGTTGCGCGCTAAGATGCGTTCAGTGTTAAGTACAAGTTTCTGCTTCCCTCCAGAAAGAGTTGACTCCATCAATTTCAAGCATCCATATTTTCTCCATGGGCTACAAAGAAAACCTGGCAGCGTAACCAGTTCACCCGCGACTGCACTGGCCACAACGCCAACCCACAACTGTCTCTGGGGCGACATGCAGTTTCCCTTAAAGCACACTGCTGGGTGCTTGCCAGGTATCACAAATATGTTCAATCATCCGGGCAAAGTGGTGCCGACTTTGATTCTTGGTATTTGCCAGGCACTGTGGCGGGTCCTGGTCAAAGTTGAGCTGAATGGACTCCTTGAGGAAACAGTCACTGCCGGCATTGTTGTGAACCTGGCGATTCTTGCAAAGCCTCCGGAGTCCACGACGAAGGCTCGTTTCTCTCCCCTTCAGCGTGTGCGCCACACAGCTCGCCCAGCTGCCCCGCCCTGGTGCGCATGGTCTCATTGTAGCCGAGGTAAGCTTCTATGAAGACCTTCCAAAGGCGATTGCTTTTGGCTAGCACAAAAAGAATCAAGCTGATGCCCACGGGAAATACCACTTGGGAGGCCAGGAGAAAGTAAGCATAGGGAGGACATATGCCACAGGCAAGACATAATCCATCCCAAATCTGAACAAGTCGAAATGTGTGCATCCAGAGATATCAAGAGTGAATTGAGGGCTGAACGTTGTTGGCATGGAAAATGTCTGCTGATGGAAGATCTTCCACTTTCCAAATCAGCAACTGGCAGGGCAAGGCGATGTGATACGATTCGAGGCGGTGAAAGCAGCACCGTGGACACTAAGATCAAATTCCTGGGATTCCTCATGGTTGCTCCATGGATTCATCAACGTGTACGTGGCAAGTGCAGACTGCAATCCTGAAACCAAAACCCCTAACAACATCTTCAAATCTTCCATCTAACCCTTGGTCACCCTTGGTCTTGCTTTGCCTCAATGGGTGTGAAGCGAGCTGTGGAGAAGCAGCTGAGGCAGTCCCGCATCTGACCGAACAGCGGAATGCACGCACGGTCAGTTGGTATCACCTGGTCATGTCGCCTGGACCCACCAATGATCACAAAAGTAGATAACAAGATAACAAATTGGGTCTCTCCTAATACCTGGGCCCAGTGGATGATGATGGTTAGGTTCCAGGCCTTGTTCAAAAATAGTAATATATTATATAATTGTTTACTGACTGGTACAGGTAAGCTCGGACAAACCCAATAGATACAAATATGTTCTTTGGACACTCTAGCTTCTTGGCTGCCTACAGATCTTACTTTGGCTCCAAAGATGATTTATTGACAGCTTCTCTTTGGTGGGTTCGAGTCAATGTTGATTGTGAAAATCAATCGCTGCAAAATTGTCCAAATAGTAAACCTCGTGGAAAACACAGCCAGTTTGACAGATATTCAATACTTACCTTCCGCCTTCCGCCATGTTTTAGGTTTGACTGCCGGAACCCAAGCTCAGGGCTTGAGCTAGCACATTTCGAAACTCACGCGTGCGGAAAAAGGAAAAAGAAGGGTCCCATGTCCTCCATAATTCAACGTTCTACCCTTTTCAATGCCCTCGTAATGCTTTCCAATTGCCTTGCAGTTGAAGATCTGCTTGTGGTCCAAGCCCAGCATCAAGGCAATCCTTTCCTTGAATGCCACCTGCGAGGGTTTTGCACAGATGTAAAGCAACACCAACCTTTCTCAATCCAATATCAGCAATATTGGCAGGAACATGCCCGGCCCATCCTAGAATCTAGAAACACTGCTACGCACAGGAATGTTTTACATCATGTTGAGAGACACGATGGAAAAGGAGACTCCAGCACGTGGCTTCAGACTTTTCTACTCTGCTCAGCTGAGGAGAGCAAGTCGCTATGCTTTGACGGTGCTGTTGCCCGCCTCGGAGGAAAGTCAATCATTTGTCCCCGCTTTGGGGCAAAGCAAGGGGTCAGGTTGCCAGACTGGTCTATAAGTGGTTTTTGTTGATGACCCGAAAATTGTCAACATCCACGAGTCCCTCCACTTAGTACTACATTGGGATTGAAAGTGTCCACTCTGTAGGATCTCGAACCAAAAAGGAACAAATTGGAAAATGACCATCCAATTCTGTGCAAGTTGGGCAACGTTCGTTGATTCCACAAGTCAAGCAAATACGTGCAGAACATTTAAGTCTTGACTGTCATGGGGCATCCTACCAACAGTGGAATTAATCCTGAAACAAAACAGCTGTCAAGCTGCAAATGACTCCAACCTGAAGTATTAACCACCAAAAAGAAGCCATGATCCATTGGACTTGATTATGGACATTGAAAAGATTTGTGATTTGCAACATCCTTGCTCAGCATCCTCAACCTGCGCCTGCGCCCACTGAAGACTTCAGGCCACTGCCCCACTTGTATCTCCATTAGATAAATCATCGCAACACTGCTGTGTATGATGGGAGAGATTGCCCCAACCCAATCCGTTCCAGCCCCCTACCCTTCTCACTCTGCTCCCAGGCCCAAAGAAGCCGTAAAACGGCCAAAAGCGCCAGGGCCAGCAAGGCTAGGTCAACACCTAGCGGTAACTTGATCAGAGGGAGATGCCAACTCCATCTGCAAGGGAAACCCAGTTGAGTTTACTGCTTCTTGGAGGTTGGTGAAAGAACATCCGATCTTTAATATCAAAGGCTCTGACAAGTCTCAACGCTATCAACTTTCACAAGCCTGAAGCTGCAGTCGTCGATGGTTCTGGAGCTTCTGTCAAAGACTCCTGTCTTCGAATCTGGACACAAATGTGGCAAGCTGAAGGCCAATCAAGATTAGCCATCTGGAAGGACACTTGTGGAACCTTGTGGGAAGGTGACCCTAGCTCTGAAACACTGCGACCGAGCTAGCTTCTGGAGCCACTGGTTCCAAACGCATCAAGTGTTCATGTCCTGAAGCACAACATCCGACTTGAGAGAGGAGGGGGTGAACGAAAGGTAGCAGGCAATCACAAGTAACCCTGCTAGAAGTCCATGACGGCGTGAACCGGCGCAGGGGGGATTTGATCCAGGGGGGGCCCCCGACGAACAGAATCAACTCTTACAGGACCAAACTCAATGCACAATCCCAACTCCTGATTGTAATACATTTTTGCTAAAGCAAGGAGAACTCAGGTACCTCAAGCTACCTTTCGTGAAAAGCACACCATGGCAAATTTCTCAGCACGAACTTGCTTTTTCACATGTTCTCAGCCCAAGCTGTGCTCCTCCAACCAAGAACTGAGCTTGTCCTTCATTCTTTTCCTCAAGCACAGGAGCACTGTCATCACTATCATCACTATCATTCAAGGGTAGGACTTCAAGAGAAGATACGAGAAGTGCAGGAAAAAAATGAACAGAACACGGCTGTTCTCTGCATGTTTCCCAATGACAAGGCGATACATGCTACAACCGTTTTCAGCTTGAAGCGTTTGGCCGTTTTAGACCAAGGCTTCACGACTTTTCGGCTTGAGCCAAGGAACGGATGTAGCTGAAGTTGGTGAATCTGTTGGCCACCCTGACAAAACGGTCTTTCCTGGATCTTGCAAATGGTGCTGTTTTGCTTCTCAAATACAGCTACCTGGCTTAGAATGGTCTTTCAATTGATCTTGCAATGCTCTCGATCTGCGTGCTGATGCAGTTCTTCTTCCTCTGAAACCATCCTTTAAATCAGCAGGGTTGACCCTGTAGATTCTAGATTCTAGATTGTGCTATGATTGTGCTTTATCTGCCACTTGCAAAGACGAACCTTGTAGTGACCAATGGTGGGATACACGTCCACGTTCTCCTTATTGCAAAGGACCTGTGATGCTGTCGCTGCATATTCTTTGGGCAACTTAGTTGGATAGAGAATTCAGTGAAGCCTGAAAAAAGTTGTTTGTTCACAGTTCACAGCTTTCTTGGTCACTTAAGAATACACCTCCCTCCACTTCAACCTCACCCGACTTCAAACTACCGTTGAGCCCAGCCCAGCAAACTCTATTGTGCTTTCCACTTTGTGGAGTTGGTCAGTGTCTCCCGACCAAAATCACGCCTTGTCAGCAGCACAATCGACCATGGCGAAGCGCACCTTCGAGGTGAAATCCTGGAGCTGCAGAAAGAAGCTTCCAGACTGCTGAGAGAAACAAAGGACTCGGAGAACGTCCATGACTCAGGTCCTTCCTCTGAAAAGCTTGCACCGGAACCCAGGTCCTGCGTGTTCAACTGCTTTTCCCATCCTGATGCCAGCCTTGAGGCTTCAGGGGAATGAAACGGTGTCACGTTGAGAAGATTAACAAAATTGGTGCAAGACACTGCAGGACTTTCTTACCAAAAAAAAATGAGGACCACGCTTCTCCACGCAATGTCCCCAAAGGTTTCCAAGCAAAGGATGATGACTCGGCCCCCAGCATTGCAAAAATGACCTCCAACTCTTCGCATGGTTCCCACCATGAGGTGCAAAAGGACACCATCCATTGCTCAGAACCACCTGAGGCAAGATGTTTTCTCACTTGGCAACTGGGCTGAGATAGCACATGCTCAATCTTCTCACTGTGTTCAAACCATTCAGTTGAACATTCAGTTGAACTTCAGCTGGCAAAATGACAAAGTCGACCCTCAATGGACTCGCACTGTCCAGCCTCCGAGTGCTGTTCGTGCATTCCCGGCGAAAAGCAAACGGTTCAACACGGTCACACCGGGCCTGCCACTTCTCAACAATGTGCTTTCGCCAAACAACTTTGTTCTGATGTGAAGTTTGAATCATTTGACCTTGGATGCCTTTGAATATACGCGTCGAAAGATTCTTTCAAAGCTGCTCTACATAATTGAACCCATCTCAGTCCGTGAATGAGTTCGGATCTACACGCATGGACCATGGTCAAGCCATTTACATACTCACAGTCCACAGTCATGAAGATTTGTATCATTGTTGTAAAATCAGCGAAAGCTCTCCAGACTTAGCTTCAAATAGCAAGGCAAAGGACACTGTTCCGACATCTTCTAACAGCTCTTGGCTCCACAATCAGTTCCTTGTGGCAACTTCTGTAGTGACTGCCGGTGTCCAGGAGTGGATCTCAAGCACCTGAGGGCGCTCTACAAATGAGAGCGTAGTTCCTGCTAGTACTGCTATTCACAGAGGCAAGCACATCGAAAAAGGAGTGGGCCTACCCGGGTCATGATCATAAGTTAATCGCAAAGGCTCCTGCACACACTGATCTACAAAGGAGTTCAGTTCTGGAAAGCTTCAGGGGTTCTGAGAAATAAAGCAAGAGGACAGTAGAAGCCGCTTGCTTTTTTTTCAGTGTGGGCATAGTTGGCCCAATCTCCGGCCTCTTCTGCCCAAGCAGAAGCGAAGAAAATCAGAGCTGGAAATGGACGTGTCATGCCGGTGCGGGGGGTGTTCGCTGGGCAACGTGGAGGACGAAGAGGTCGTCTTCGAAGCTACAATCAAAACAGATCACCAACTTGAGCCAAGAAAGGCTGAGGACCAATTCATGACTTGGACACAAAACAGAGTCCCAAGCTTACATGGCACAGAAGTACCCTGCGGACCATTCTGCCCTCGAGGAAGGAGAAGGATGTAGCTGTTTGGGGAGAAATCATCCGCCTTGAACATGTCAATTGACCCAAGTTGACCCAAGGCTCCAAATCAACAGAAAGGCGCTGAATCTAATATAGACCACTCTAGGTGTACATGTATAGCTGGAACCTACCAGGCATTTCAAGACCACAGCATGCTGAAGCAGTGACATTTCACCGATGGGGTCGCACCACAAAGCAGAACGCCACGATCATCGCCTGGCCAGAGCTCCACAGCTGGATTCAACTGGGTGCATCACGTAGAAACAGGTGGCATCCGTAGAACAGAAATCTCTGCTTCTACGGCGAGGATGAACCATTGCCTCTTCCTGACATGCCTAGGAGATTCACTGCCAAGGGGGAGTAGTGTCTCAACAGTCACACAAAATGATAACACCATAAAAAATTATGCGGACTTTGTGTTGATGTCCTCATCGGGGCCGGGGGGGTAGTTGTTGTATCTTGACCGGGAATCGAGCCACCAGAAAAGTGTATAGAGTGTTGATGTCAAATGCCCGTTGCGAAGCTAGGCAGGATGGCCAAAGATGTGGCCTTGGCGACAAGCACATCTTAAGTGGGCAGTCAGGTAGAATCGAAAATGGTCGTTTGGTTGGGTTGACAGAGTCCGGAACGACCAGAGCCTCCAAAAGTACAACAACCTACAGCAACCAAATGATCCTGGGCCATCCTGGGCCTGCAATGCCAGTCTTGGACATATTTGGACATTCTTAGACACCAATATGGGACCTCTGAGATTACAATTGGTTGACGATTAAAGAAAATGAACCCCTGATGACAGATGGATTACAAACTGTACGATTGACTTGCAGCCCAAGAAACCCATTTCAGAACGTGGCTCGCAAGCCAAGCTGCCGACTTCACACAAACCTCAGCATCTCATGAGGTGCACCGGTGTCACTGTTGAAACATGTTGAAACGGTGTCACTGTGTCATGAGGTGCACCACTGCCTCAGGGCGCGGACGCGGAAGCCTTCAACTTTGAGTCAACAAGTTCAAGTCAGTTAAGTTTAGAAACGTAACAATGCCGATAATAATGAAACTATTCTCCAAGATTGAGAATTATCCCGGCAAGAGACCCCAAGCAGTGTGTGTGAGGTCTAGAGGTGTAGCAACAGAAAGTCTAGAGATCTAGACCCATTGGGGTCCAAACAGGTGATGGTGGTGATGGTGATGGTGGTGATTGGTGGTCATGGTGGTGGGTGGCGATGGTGGTGATGGTGGTGGATAGGGGTCTTGCGAGAGTGAGGGTGAGAGTGAGAGTGAGAGTGTGAGAGAGAGAGAGAGTGTGAGTGAGTGAGTGAGTGAGTGAGTGAGTGAGTGAGTGAGTGAATGAGTGAGTGAGTGAGTGAGTGAGTGGGTGAGTGAGTGAGTGAGTGCGTGAGTGAGTGAGTAAGTGAGTGAGTGACTGACTGACTGACTGAGTGACTGACTGAGTGAGTGACTGACTGACTGAGTGAGTGAGTGTGTGTGTGACTGAGTGTGTGACTGAGTGTGTCAGAGTGAGTGAGAGTGACAAAGTGCTGCGCCTGCCAAAAAATTTGCAGGTTGAAGTTCACAAAGCGCTGCGCTTGCCACGAAATCCGCACTTGAAGATTCACATGCCGCAGCCCTGCCGAGGCGCTTCGCCGCAACGCTTCCAAAAACAACAGTCAGATGCCAAAACGCAGCTTTCGCGCGAGACTCCCCCAGATGTCTGAAAACGAGCCACATGTAGAAAAGTCACGATTCACTGCACCCGTCCCGAACTTAGAGCGCGTCGAAAGTCACCACCATATCCAAAGTGCTGCGCCGAATTCTGCGCTTCGAAGTAACACCGCTCCGACCCCTTGCACCTGTCAAAATCACGAGGTTTCCCTTGCGCCAGCCACGAAAAGTGACCACCGGACCATGTCCGAAAATGCGCACGGCACCACTGCGAGAGCGCAGTCGCGACAAGCATCCGCTGCTGCGGCCAACCAGATTTTGCGAGCCTGCGCAGTCGAAATGCACTTCGAGGATTTCGAGAGGCATGAATGTACTGTAAATAGCAACGAATTAGCCGGACACGCCCGCGCGACACCTCGATTAGACACCGGCCCTTCGCTACTACCGTAAGAACCCCTAGTGTGACCACACTGTTTAGGGGAAAAGATGGAAAAAGGATGAAAATGGAGTAAATTGAGTGTTCAGTACTGACTAGTTCAAAAAAGGAACTGACTACTCGTTGTATGTTCCGACCTTTTTCCTCTAGAAATCCTTCATGGAGATCGATGCTAACTCCAAACGCTCTGGGGTTGTGACAGCTACGTACGAGGCGGCATCCCAATTGGGCAGCCACTGAAGGACCTGAGCAAATATAGATCATGCCTGACGCATCCTGACGTTGTGATATGCTACTGTTGGATTGAAAAGTATGTGAGTCTGTCATCTTTATCTGGGAATTCCCTCCATGTCTGGACCTTTCCAATCTAGGCTGGATTGATTTGGCAAAGTCAATGTTGCGCTACTGACCGCGGCTGCTGCGTCTCTTTCCAGCAGGGTGGTATCCCTTTGACTATAGGACCAGCACGGTAGATAGCAACCAGTAAGTGCAGGTCATGGAACACTCAAGTGCAGCTAACATCAGGAGTGCATGAATGTAAGATCATGCCTAGAGCCTAGCAACATGTGATTATGTGATGACAAGATTTAGTTTAAGAAGTTGTTTCCTCTCATATGACAACCGTTTGAAAATGGTGCTGGACTCACACACGTGCGCTGCGGAGGTTGTGAGTCCATTCCGTATTTGAAAGCAGTTCCGAGGGACGGGATATGTATAGTTTTGTATAATCTTGAGATCTGTGAGTGCACAGGTTGATGTATCGCTGGTAGAAGGTCACTGTTTACAAATTGAAGCACCACGACTATCCAAGACCCCGACTAAGAACATAAATGTCGCGTTGAAGATGACCATGAAGAGATAGAACATCTGGCGAACAAGAGCACAGGAAAATCAAACAGTTAATGTAGGGTGGAACATCCATCCAAACAACACACAGTCACATGGAACTACTGCTGACTTAGCTCTTCTTCTGGCCAAAGGATCATCCCTGATATTCCCTGATCAGAAGCAAGTCTTTTGCTAAGAAGGTCATCGCCAGCACGAATCCATAAGTCCAACTCTTTCATCAAGGCGCTCAAATGATGTCGGCACAAGGCTAGAGATAAAAGGTTTAGCTGGATACCCAGTGCAAAGCCACTGCATGCTATTGCCGATATGCGCCGCACCGGCAGATGCTGTGATATCCTGCAGGCTACGAAGATAGCCATCATTCTTCCCAGCAGTTTAACTAGACTTACTCATCTCCACTGCCACAATTCAACTTGTACTACTCGTCTTCAAAAACATCACAAGGTAGAAGCAAGGAGGCTACTAGGAGCAAAGGGCTTCGCTACTAGGAGCAAGGACTCTACAAGGGGCTCCTGGCCGTACTACTAGTAACAAGAAGCTACTAGTAGCAAAGGGCATTGCTACATGGAAAGAGTCGGCATCCGGTCCGTGAGGCAAACTTCCGCGCATGCGGGGAGGACATCCCAGCGCAGAAGCACTGAGCACAAAACGGCATGAGAGTCAAGCAGCAAAACAAACAAAAAGTTGACGACATCAAAGGTCAAGAACTGTCCACAATGATCTGACAACTAATTTTGACCTACAACGTTTTGCCTGCTGCTGTAATCAACTCCTGGCCCGAACGTAAATGATGCTGCACTGTTTGAAACATTCTTTGTTGCAGCCAGTGTGCCGGTAGGCAAAAACACCATGCGCATGTCATAGTCGCAAAGATCAAGATCCACCTCGGCAGAATGTTGATGAAATAATGCAAGGAACAGACTGGAACAGTGGTCTGCAGGTCTGCAAAGGCATATATATATAGAGAGAGAGAGAGAGTTGACAACGTGACCCATGTGACAAAAATGGAAATAAGTCGTAAGCGAACTCAGCTCTGTTGGTAGTCTGAATAGTCAAACTACTCTGAGGGACACTGCAGCCAGTGCAAGTGCAACGCTCTGCTTGTTGAGGGGAGCCCACCACATGTCTTTTGAGCCACAAAGCTTGTCTGAGCGTTCAGGCCATCTTCCTGTCCCAGGTTCGTCATCTGAGGTGCAGAACCCTTGGTACTCCGGATCAAGATATTCTGTCCTGGCCACTTGGTCAGTGCGCATCTCAAAGAAACTGCATGCAAATACGGTTTGCTCTCACAAGAAGGACTTCAGCGGATAGACTCTAGACCAATTCGGGATGGTAAAACGACTTGCCAACCTCCCGGCATCAGCCCTGACAAGCAAAAAGGCTTCTATGTTCATCAAACCAATTGCCCGTACAGCAATGATTGTCCCACTCATGTAACAGACGAAAGGCAAACTACAGCACTCCCCTCCTGTATTCCAAGATTTGCACAGGCAACGGCTTAGCGGTGGTCATTGCCTCCACGCCTGTGCATGCTGGTCTTGTTTCGGGGTGGTTTCCAATGACTTAACTGCGTACCAGACTAGAAACCTGTGGTCATCCTACTCTTGGAGCCATAGGAGTCAGCCATGGAAAGCTTCGTTCTAGCCAATTAAGACATAGTCAAATCAAGGCCAGTCTGCTGTCAGCCTCGTACTGCAGCGTCAATCTTATGGGTCGAGTCTTCTAGCGCATCGAGCAAGTTACCTCTGAAGTATGGATGAAAGGATGAAAGTGGTTTGGTTTTCTTGGCATACCATAAGGAAAATAAATCAACATGCGTGTCAAGGTTTAAGAAAGTCTTTAATGGGCAAACAGCAAAAGAGCTTGAGCCAAAATGGCATGAACGAGGAGAATCGGAACACACAGTAGGTGGAGCTGAGCTGCAAAGCAAGTCTGTCTTAATGTTGCTTGAAGTGGGAAACTTAGGTCTGATATCTCTAATCTCACAATTATGTTACATCATGAATCATACCATATAGTATTATTAAAATTACCATGTCCAGTCTGCTACCACCATTGGGGACCAGAAATGCAGAGAGTCGCTTTCCAGACTCGTGTGCTTGACCGGTTGATTTTGAAGGACCTATTGACTATTAATTATTATATATATAGTTAAAGTTAGAGAGTTTCATAACAGTGATGTCCGACAACAAAGCTGACTTCCAACCAACCTGCGCGCCCGACTAACGAAGAGTGGTAATAGGCGGCGCCAAGAATATCGTACACAAGTGTCAACACAGCAGCAGTGATTTCATGAATGAACTTCAGTCCTGTCCCCTCTATATACTAAAAACAATGCTGTGAAGGAATGTGATGATGTAGAGACCTGAGAGTCCTGATCTGGCTTTCCACTTTCGTTCGATGACTTGGCTAAGGTTCTGCGACCTGCCAACGCTGACAAGCTGCATCACTTCTGTTTTCTTACCAGAGAGCGTATGCCACACGGGCGCACTTGACAGTGTCCTGAGCAATGCCCCTCAAGTGAGTCAATAAGCTCCAGAGTTGCAAAGCCATGTCTCAGTCAACTGTCATTGTCGACCTTTGAGTACTTTAGTAACTTGGCTTACTTCAAGCTGCGCATCCTTTTTTGCATGCCTTTTCGCGGCGTCCCTCCACAACGTAACCCGTGTCCTTCCGCTCCCGTTGGATCCTAAAGCCCAGCACCAACTCGACGCTGGCCTCAGCACCAAGCAGCACTGCTCCACCGCAATCAGCGTCCATTTCGGTCGGGTCTTTTTTCCCGGTGGCGAAAGGCTTCGGCCAATGGAAGACAAAAATGTGCATTGAGCAACTCTGCAATACGAACATTGAAAAACAAATATATATATATATACAGTACGTATATATCACACACATCCATGCTCAGGGTGGATAACGCCTGAACTGTGGAACATCTGGTCTGTGCCTGTGGAAAGTGCAGCAGCCCAGCCAGCACAACGAAGAGCTGCTGCGTCATCCTGGGATCTCAGCTTCACGTCGTCCAGGCCATGGGGATGCTTTTGCAGAGTCTTTCTTAGTCAATTCACTCTTGGGGGCTGACAGGCAACTCATTCGGCACCAAAAAATAGAAGTGCTTAAATCATCTTAAATCGACCAAAACCACGAGTGGTACGAAGAATGGCTGAGGTGGGGAATGGGGCAAGTGAAGCAAGCAAGCGATCAATGCAAAGCAATAGTTTGGCGGAGCCAGGCAACAGGAGTGGCGTGATGTACTGTAGGGGTCAATGGAAAAGAAGTGAAAGCCAGCAAAATCATCCAGCATCAAACTACAGAGGAGACAGTTTGAGAGACTTTGCCACAAACCATTGACAACAAACTAAAATGTATTTGTAGTTTACATGTTCTACTGAGTATCCTCAACACTATGCGGCAGATGCCAAAAAGTACAATACACAAAAGGAAACATCAACACGCCCAAATTGCGCTCCTCGACTTTGAAAGCCATTGGGCACCTAGGCACTAGCACAAAGATGAGACATCCCTCCTATTTTTGGTGTACGGCCGCTCATCGAATGACAGACTAGGCTAGGACTCAGACAGCGTTATGTTCTTAGTATCCAAACACGGTGACACATCTTTACTAAGAACTCATTAGAAGCAAGTGCATCGCTACTAGTAACAGGTGCCTTACTAGTAGTAACAAGAAGCTATTAGAAACAGATTCCAGCTTCGTATGGGTCAACTGTGATGGATCCAGTTTGTAGCTGGTTCACATGAATGTCGAACGCCTCGAGGCCCTCCAACAGAGCTGTCAAGCTTGTCACCCCTGATTGGAAAGCATTGAGCACTCACAGCTTACTGAGTGGCAAACTTTGCCCCACGTGCTTTCAGCTTCGAGAGCTGGCATGGTGAAAGCAAGCACAGCTGGTTTTCTGGGATAAACAGCTGGGAACAAACATAGTGACATGGACACAGTCAAAATCACAGTAATACCATAAGACATAAATATCAGGGAGACTTGAACTAAACAAGTGGCATCGGAGATGAGACAAGTGTTTTTTGCAACATAGGTGTCAAGTATGCCAGGTGTCTGGCATCCCTCATGCATTGGATTTGCAAAGCATGCTGCCGAAGGTCGGTTAGAATCCACAGAAGTGCGCTTGTCTGTCAGCAAACAATCTCAGGTACAAGTATCTGGCACACCCGTGTGCCACATGTCAAAGAACTTTTGCAAACAAACTCTCCACCACTTCATCGAATGCCACCAATTCCGCGCCTGACGCTCAGCAGCCTTCAGCGCTTGTTGATACGACTGGCCGGCCACAGATGCATGGAAGGCTTGCCACAAACCCAGGTGGGCATGTGAGTCAAAGTGATCTCTGGCCGCTTGTATGATCCATGATCCTTTCCAAGTGCTTTGACTCCGATTTCACTTGCCACCCACAGCTACGGACCTTCGCTGTGCTCTGATCCAAGAACAGCTCGGGGTCAAGCTTTCTTGCCGTAGGCTGCCACACAAGTGCATTGGAATCACGATGAATTGAAGCAGTACCGCTGCAGTGGATGGACTTACAATAATCTCGCCTCTTGCTCATTAACAAGAAGCTACTGGTAGCAAGGACGCTATTAGGTGGAGGCCATCGCAAGTAGGTTGGAGGCCATTACTAGTAACAAGAAGCTACTACTAGTAGAAGCAAGGATAATGCAGATGTTGTCTAAAAATGTCTGAAATGTCTTTTCAGCACTCTGATGCACTGCCCGCTGCGCATGGTTGACATGGATGATACGGCGACATCACATCCTCGAATGCTAATGAATGACACAGCTCTGTTACAGCTCTACATCCAAACATCAATCGCTCTGACCCCACCTTGAAGAAGGGCTTCTCGAAGAGCTTGGCTAATGTGGACACGGCGGGCAACTCGGTAGCATCGGGGTTTGCCACCAGTCTATGTGCATGAGAGGCACAACTCAGTTTACCTATAGACTCCTTTGACTGACTTCTTCTGCAAGTCTACACAATGGAACTCTGTGAATCATACTGCATAACGGCAAGATTGGTAACAAACACCTCGGTTCCCTGACATGGTGCCGGAAGAGCATCTGGATCTCCCAAAGAGAGCTTTGGCCGACCTCAATCTCAGAGCTGCTGAAAGGGTCTGCAGAACAATCAAACAGGTTTGCTAGCATTATCAAAAAGCCCGACTTGCTAACTAGTCTTCCAAAGAATCTCAACCCTCTGGAAACTTCAGGTCTTTCTCCAGCTAGACCCAGCATGACCTTGTCCATACACCCAGCATGGTCCCACAGCCTATAAGGGTTGGGACAAATGCAATGGTCTTTCAAACATTGTAAGCACAAAACGCATTCAATGCATAGTGCCTTCTGCATCTCAGACCAAGTCGTAGGCTTGCTCACTGGCCTTCTGGAGGTCTGCATCTAGCTCGAAAGGATCCTGGAGCTGATAGAGGACCGCTGCAGCATCATTTTCGCTACCTCCTCCTGTTGTTACAAATATGTGTGTATACATGCGTGCGAGCTTTGGAGTCACAAGCGTCTCATTGTATAGATGTTTGTTGAATGAAACACGTTGAAACAAAGCAAAGCACAGTGTAGACTGCACCCAACGAAGCTGTCCACTTGTGCTGGTAACCGAACCTGATCAGCTCTGAATACCTGCTATGCTTTATCTTGGAATTACCCATATACTGGGCCCTGTTTGTAACTAGAACAATCTTGCTGGCCATTGTACCGGTTATGAGTTCTGCAGTCACGCATCGTTGGCATTTTCGGAATCTGGCATCTTGAGACTTAGTTTTTCACTTGGAACGTGGAGACTTGAGCCTTCACTTGGAACCCTTCGGATTGACGGACTTGAACTTGAAAGTGGCTGGACCCTGCTGCATTTACCTGACTTCTTAGATTGCCTTTTTACCGTTTTTACCTAGGCTTCTTATGGCTTCTTCGAGTGGCAAACTGCTTTCCGTGCGTACTCTTATCTCTAGTGTGTGTTCCTCAGATTTCATTGGACAATTTTTTGCAGCTGAAAGGCATCTCAATATCAGCAAGGGATATGTGTGGCCTGATCGCCTTGAGAAATTGGCCAATCAACCGACAAATTGGCAACGCGGGCGCACCTTCGACACAGCTGTTGCGCCTCGAAAGCACGGTGGACCGACTAACTCACCGGACAAGAGCGGTCAAGCAGTCCATGCAAAATGATTGGGCCAAACAGAAAGCTCATAAATACACCCTGCAGTTATCAGAATCACAAGAACAGGCTCTTATGTACACGTTCCCAGTGATGGAGGGCTGTGTCTATCAAGTATATGTCTCTAGACAGCTGCTGGCTTAGAGAATCGCAAAGTGACAACAACCGGTAAGTTGCCGCAGCTCGGGATGAACCTTCAGGATCTCTTGCCGGAAAGCAAAATCACCTATGCACCATGCGTTTAATCATATGAGCTCTGAGCAAAGACCTGTGAAGAAAGACACCTGTCATCCGGGGACAACACAGCAGGCTGCAGCCCGAGCCTTCTTCCGTTTGGTGAAGCAAGAAGCTGCATCGGCTATGGTTCCTACTGCATTTCAGTGTTGCTAAGAATTGCTCTCATCAAACTTGTGAGGGAACTCATGCAAGTAAAGCCTGAGAACCTTGGATGACACAAGGAGAATCCAGCCCTTGATGTGCCGATTCCCTCGCTCCTCTGAATGAGGCCGTAAGCAACTGCCAGGAGCCACATAATGGTACCAGGCCTAGGGCAGTGATCAATTTCATAGACCTGTGACCAGTGCTTTCCGAATTCCTGCAACACCAAAGAATCGAAGAAGACCCACTGGCTGTAAGTTCTTTTTACCTTCCTCCAGCTGGGCGGACAAATCTGTAGTTACTTTCCGAAGTGCAGCTAGGGCTACTTGCTCACTGCAAAGGACAGCAACGCGCAGACCTCAGAGGACACATTGAGGGTTGGAAGTTGGAAGTGGCAGTCTCCGAACCAAACACCACAATCAAAAAGAGCCAAAAGCATGCCACATACACATGCAACAGAAAGAAGTTTGGGCCGCAGCTACACATCCATTCCAAAAAACAATTCACCGTCTTTTTTCATGCGCACCTCAGGTAGTCAAACAATCAGTGTAGTAAATGACAGCAAATAGCAATTTGGGTCGGCTAGAAAAAATCGAAGGCATTGCAGGCTCAATACTAAACGTACTGGGCATGTGGCGCATATCATCGGAATCAATGGGTCAAATCCACAGATTTCCTAGCACCGCCACCCTTGTTCGCCTAGGAGCATTTCTTTGCAAAGGCAGCAGCGAAGCGTCCTGGCCTTGGCTCTAAGCTCTGCAACAGTGGATGGTTCCAGTTTGAAAGTGACAAAATCTGAGGTGAAACATGACTATCTTAACTGTCTTGACCCCGGCATTTTGATACATGTGCATGTATCAAACATGTCTTGGGCTCTGACAGCAATGCGCTTGTGAGAGCCGCGGCCTAATGAACAAGATACGTAAATCCATTGGAGCTGTCCACAACAAACGTGGCGGCCCGTGGTATTCATGGGTCAGTTGCTCTCCCAAAGATCTGGTGAAGTAGGCTCACCTTCCTCCCAGCCTTACCTGACAAACACGTCAGCTTGTTTCCTGACATTTAGCTGGCTTTGGGGACTTGGGAACGGGTAGGTGGGTGCCATTTCCAGACAAGGAAAATGTCTTAAACATGTTTCTACTAGCTTCTTGTTACTACTAGTAAGGCACCTGTTACTACTAGCGTGGCACTTGTTTCTACTAGCTTCTTAAAGAAGCTGGCTGGGCTCTTGCACGGCTAATCTCTGGAACCGCGCACGGCCTCATCAAGCCAAGGCAGAGCTGGTCTCTGAAAAACACAGCGGGCTATACTGTCTTTGAAGGAGAGATACGTGAGCCATGGTCTAAGCTATATTTCTAGGTCAAAGGACATCAGGATTACTGTGAGTGTGCTATTGTTTTTTGTTGTTCAGTTGTATATGTTATATAGTGTTTTTTGTTTCAAGTCTGTTATCTTTATAGACTGTGTTTTGAGATCCCACATCCATCGCTTTCCTTGTATAGTCGTCCGTAAATTCTGTCCGTACCTCAGTAATTACTGTCTATCAGTGCTCCAAAGGCAAGAAATAGCACCTCATTCGCCTATGATGCCTACAAATTCACGAATTAATTTGCAAATGTGATTTGGAACGAGATGTAGGGTGTGTAGGTCCCCTGCGCTTCAAACGGAAAGTTGCTGGTTGCAAGAGGCTGTAGAGCTGCGTGTAGAACCTCAAGCTTCATGCGGCAGTGTTGTGGTTGGCCTACCTTCCAAAATTGAATCCAATTGACTGGTGTGGTTGGCGTATCTTCCTCTTTTCTATCATCACATGTCTTCGACAAAGTGTCCCTGAAAATCGAGGAACCTACAAAACGAATTCTAGTTCTCTTGTGTCCGGATGCAGCTCATGTAGTGGTCACGATCTCTTACAGCCTAACTGCTTACCATTACTTGCTTGGCTACCTTGCTTTCTACTGTATAGTACATGCATAGTTGTATTTAACAAATGCGTGCAGGTAATTGCAGTACCCACCCCTTCAGTCCCAAATCAGCCCCTATTGACAAATACAAGAGTTTTGAACATAAAAACATGGTACTTGATTGATCTTGATTGAATGATAGTCTTGCTCTTGCTTCGTGAAAATGCTTCCAGGCTCTATCCCTTGATCTCTTCATCTTGGGTCCCACGCTCTCCGCAGGACGAAGACAAAGTCTCTGGATCCCCCAAACCGTAGCGTGTGAGCCTTGAAAGGGTAGTTGCCACACAGAAAATTTGCAGAGAAGAATAGCAAATCGAAAAGCAGGATGGAAGTTGATGACACTGGTCATCTTGAGTTTACACAAAACAGAACGGAACAGTTGCCCACATACCTACTTCAGCTTTGCCTACACAGAAGCTCCCAGTTGAGCCCAAAGCAGTAGAAGAAGGCCACTAAGAGCAAGGACTGAAAGTTCCAAAGAGCCTCACCACTGGCCCTGCCCCTCTGGCCACACATTTCACGCATGCGGTCGTTAATCACCAAACATATCTGAGCACTAAAAGGTGGTGTGACATTGATGCCCCAAATGATTACAGTAAACCCATGTTTTGCGATCAAGGAACTTTGGCTTGTGGCAGATGCAAAAGGAGAACTGACAAAACTATACAAACGCAAATGAACAGCGGATGCAGTTCGTGGCGACTCCATTCAGCCTGCGTGAAAGGCTCGGAGATAGAAATCTGCGACCATCAGCGGACGACCTGAATGGTCGGGCACAAACGTCACTAAATCTCTGGGGTTCAATGCCGACCAGTACGTGTAGCCAATGCGTGCTTGCGAAACTGGCAGAACTGCTTGTTTTCGCACCAAACGAACCCTTGGTGATGCGTGAATTCGCTTCATGGCACCAAGTTCAAGGCCCATGTGGGGGATCACCTTCGTGGGAAGCAGCTGCAGCCTGGGTTGGCACAGTCGAAGTTTCTGTCAAGCAAAAGCTTCTAAGAAAACTCAATGTGATGGAGTTTCAAAAGCGTGAATGGAGCTGTCAGCGAACCTATTGCAAAATATTGCCATGAATATCTGCTCACATGCGACGAATTGGGTCTACAAACCTCATCTCACTGATCTCACAAGTGAAGTTCGCATCATTTGCCATCCTTCTTAGAGCTTGGCAATCCAGAGCAATGTTGCAAAGGTACGCGCAGCCCCAACCTGTTGAGGAACTAACGATTGGTATTTAAGCCGGCCGGGTTCGTCTCAGAAACCAGAAAAGCGGTCCAAGCTGGAGGCACTCGGCAACTTAGAACCATTTTTGCACACAACTTGGAACTCGTTGACATTGAGAACAACTCGGATTTGAACTTCTTCAGGTCCATTGCAAATGACTCTCCACGATGTGATCTTGGCATCCAAACAGCTTGAGCCATGCATCCTGAAAAAGCCGTTTGTAGTCCTTCCGGTATTGGCTGAACGACCTGCAATGTCGTGTGCAACGCATCCAAAATCCAGCTCCAGGCAAACATTGCTTAGATTGGATGCTGAAATTATTTGGATCATGTTGATACCTCTTCCCTTTGAAGTTCAGCTGCAGCCTGCTGGACTCTCTTTAGCAATCATGACCAAGAGTCTCTACAAAGGAAACTTGAATATAGTATACTGTAATATTGTTAAGTTATATACACAATATATATATATATATCTTCCGTGTCAGTAAGTTCCATCTGTGAATGAACAAGCTTCCTCCACGTTCTACCTTCTCTGACTTCTGGCAATTCCATTCATACGGAACTCCACTGTAGAGATTGACAAGTGTCCCCATTCAAGCTTCGCAATCAACATGACAGCTGCGCTTAGGTTTGTAGTTATGGTTGGTAAACCTTCGACGATTCAAACACATGTCACACACATGTCACAAAACTCTTTCAAACATGTCACCTGGCGGTTTCCAGCCATACATCGCCAATATCGTCACTATCCTCTTGGCTCTGGCAGCATTTCGCAATGTGAGAACGCCGAGGTATGGCCACTCATGACAAAAAACATCTTTCTCATAGCCTCATGCTAGCCAAAAGGGTGTTGAAGTCCTTTTGGGAGTGTTCTCACAAAAAGTGAACAGCCAGGCGACCGCAAACCCGCCCCTAAGTGTGAACGCCAATAATTTTGTCTGTTCCTTCTTAAGGGACCTTCATATGTTTCGTCGATGTCCATTACTTGCCACCAATACCGATCTGTGAATCACCATGATGGTCCTGGTCCTCTGGCTCCGGTGCCTCGCAAGTAGCTTTTTTCAGCAGTGGACTCATTCAATAGACAACAGCGATCTTTCAGCATTGTTGTGATCAAGAACAATTGAAAGTGATGCCAGTAAGAGAAATAGTTTCAATCGAACTCGAGCTGCAGGTACAAGTTAGTGCGAAGCCCTTCTCGCCCATGCCCGGCCATTGATCATTGTCCTCTGTGTCTGGCTTGAGCCTCTTTTGAGCCGCTCGGTCTCACTCGCAACCGCTGAAACCGAGCTCGGTCCCACTCGCTCGGTGGCGGCGTGAGCCTCTTTCAAAAGCGCGAGGATTCGCTCAAAGATCTCTTCATGCGTGCGGCCTAGCAGCAAACGTGGCTCGTACAAACAGTTCCGACTCGACGAAGATTTAGCGTTAACGACCGATTAGTCCTGAACAAAAAAGACAAGCCAGCTTCTTGTGTTCGGCTCGGACAGATGGTTGGAGAACAAAAATGAACAAACACATTATATAAAAGCCAAAAAACAATCTCGAATCCCTGCTACGTTCAATTTCACTGGTGCAAAGTTCCCCTTCTAACTATCCGACTCCGCGCCTTTCTGCAGCGCGGCTTCAGCCTTGGCGAGCTTGTTCGCTTGAAGAAAGGCAACATGACCACTCTTTCTGGAGTTCAGCATCTGGTCTCTAGAACTCAAACATTAGGACACGCTGCATCTCCGGATGTATGGAGCAAAGACGACCGTTGCTGGAAAACAAAAAAAAACATGCACATATAGTATGTATACAATAAGTGTATATCTATGATTAAACTAAGTATGTTTGGTAATATTACATAAATATGATTAAATATGTATACTGTGGCGTTCTATTTCCTCAATCCGATCTCGTCCGCTGAGTGTTTCTACAGGTTTCCCGGCGAAGGGCCCCTGCATTCGTCTTCGCTTGGTTTCCTGGCCCTGTAGTTTTGGAGGCGCATTCGGTCGGGTTTAGTCCAGTGGATACACCGCCTGATTAAGATACAGAATCAAATTCAGTTGACAAAAAGGTGAAGCATCTGTGTTAAAATGAATCAATGAGCAAAATGGGATGAAATGGGTAGAGTGGGAAAATGACCACTAACTGACAGTGATATCAACCATATTCAACCGTTTGCGCCTCACATTTTTGCATGGCTACGCGGCTACAGGGATTGTCCACTCTGTGGCTTGAGGATAGCTGGACAGTCGCACCAGTCTACAAGATTCGTTGGTCATTCCGGTCTGCAAGGTCGGTCTTGGATGGTCTTTCAGCCTTATCCCTTCCCAGCGGTGACACCGTATTGACCACAGAATGCTAGAATATGCTAGACACCAGTTTCTATGATATACATAAAGGATTTCCGGAAAAAAGAGAAGCGCAAAGAACCTTCCATGGAGCAACAAATGAGAGAGTGCAGAGAATAGCCTAGATAGCTACTGAGAGCATCGTGTCAGTGAGTTCAATGATCGGTACGACCCAGTACAATATGGTCAGTATATTAAAGTGATTACAAAGTGTAGCCATGCAAATACGAAGCCCTTGGGACGTGCTTCTGGTATCGCAAGTGCTGGGCCTCCCCGGGCTGCACTTGCGTCTGGAGGCCAATAACCTCGCTCTGATCCAAAGCGGTCGACACCGTTGGCACTCTGCACCAGTCGAAACCTCGATGCCGAAGCATGTCTTTTCTTCGGTCAAGCAATGCTGCTATGCAGCAATTCAGTGGCACCGAGACGAGGAGTGGCACATGGCACGCACAGGTTGAGCTTCAAAGAATGTTCAGAAGCACAAGCGAAAGACTGCAGCAGCCTATGCACATCTCATGCATTTGGAGGCTTCCTCTCACAGGGGGGGAAGACCCAACCCTGTGAGTTTAGAACCTGTGCTGACAGATTGTGAAGCATTCTGGCCAAGGCAATTGGCTCGAAAAATGCCACGCACGTCAGCTGGCCAAGCCGTCTGCTAAGCCCTTTGTCTGTCTGCGACAGAAGAGGTACCTCAAAGCAGAAAAACCTCCTCCCATCTCTGGCCTAGGTGTCAAAATCAAAATATGGGACTTGCCATTGCATGACTGAAGGTATGGGCATTCTCAGCAAAAAACAAGTGTCCTGGTAATATATAAATATATAGGGCGATCAACTGTCTGCTGGTGATAAAGGGCAATTCATCGTGTTCATCCCATTCCTCCTAAATCTTCCACTGGCGAATCACTTCTTGGCAGCTTTCACTGGCCCTGACTCTGCTTCATTAACAGGGATCGCTTCCTTGCAACATGTCGCAGTTTACACAGTTCCATGCTGATGAAAAAGGCGCGTTGAGATTTAAGTAATCCGGCTGCCTTTGAAGGCAACAGTAGGTATCAGGAAATTGGGCAGCCTACAAATGGGGCCTCAGAACTCAAATTCACGTTGCCTCTCACTTAGCATCAAAGAGTAGGAGGGCAGTTGCATGCATATATATATATATATATATTTTTGCTACCCCCCCAAAAAAACCCTACGTTTAGTCAGGTGTTTGGGTGAGATGCCTGGTTGCCAGATGTGTTGGCTTTACCAGACAGTCAGAGGCATGACATTATGATAGGCATTGGCATGTGTAATGAAAGCAAAAGTTTGTTTCACAGATGAAGGAAGGATGTTTGCACAAGACGCACGAGGTTTTACACAATGTGAAGGTTAACGAAGCAGACAAGAGGCGCGGCAATTTTTGTATCCATTGCGACTCCCTGTGCAAGTTCACTCTGTGATTTTTGGCATTATGCCAGCCACAGATTACGCCAGAGGCAAGCCACATACCGGCGTTGCGATGCCAGTACTCATACTGGGCACTGCGGATCTTCGCCCGCAAAAGTGATGACCCCACTGTACACTTTTGGTTCAGTTTGATCCTGCCCTTCAGATAGCGCCAAGCACGATCAATGATTCAGGACACCCAGTACATCTTTTTTCTTTGTCTCCTTGGAAGATGTCGGGCAAAAGGTGGAAGAACTTCTGTTCTGAAATCGAAGTGTCGCCTGGTCCGGCAGGTCATTCGAGGCAAATGCTCGCAGCTGATTGCGCACCATACGGGAATCATTGTAACGGGCATCCACAGTGCCATCCTCATCTGTATTCATGAAACTCTTCAAGTCTGCAATGTTGACTTTGGATCGACACGGGTCGTCGAGGAACAAAGCTTCGTGCACCATGGGAGCCCGATGTCTGAAGTTGTCAAGAGATTTGGCACGACGCCATCCTGGCTGGAGGCCTTCACAGCCATTGCGACGAAGGTGATACCTGCCAAGTGCCATCGCCAGCACAATGACAAAAGGGGTCTTGCCAACGCCGGGTGAGCCCAGCAGAAGAATGCCAAAGTGGCGCAGGAGCGGGTACAAGTGGAGCAGCAGAAACTCTCGCATGAATGGCTTCAGGCTCATGGTTGTCAACGGAAACTCACGCATGCTAAGCGCTCCAGCAACTCCTCGACTTTTGTTTTGGGCCATCTGTTTCCTGGAGATCCAAAGTGGCACTTTTTTCTATCACAGTGGCGCGTGGCGTATTTTCCGAAAAAGTGTCACAGTGGTACTTTTTGCTCATGGTTGGTGTTTGGCACTTGTTCTCTTAGGGCATGTTGATGCTTTGCAGTGGCGCGAAGAAAAACATCCAACGCCTGAGCCAAGTCTTCTCACACGCACTTGTGCTAGGACTTTTCTGATGTTTTCGCGCCTGCTTTTGTCAATGCTGGACGCGGCTTAAAACATGCAACTTTCCCGAAACGTTGCGAAAATTTCCGAAAAGTTGCGAAAATAAACGTACGTTTTGTATGGTTCTTTTTTCGCAACGTTTTCGTCGCATTTTGGCATTGTGGGAGCATGTCTTCAACCAAAATCACTCCTCTCTCCCCGTGACTCCGCGGTTCACGCAGAGTTCCAAAGATGTGGTGGCTGACTTGCGCTTTCGTTTGAAAATTCACTTTTTGCTAGTGGCGTGTTTTGACTTAAAATGTGTCACAGTGGCGAGTTTCACTTTTTTTTACCACTTTGGATCTCCAGGTTGACCTTTGCCTCAGGCCATCCAGCAATTGGGGTGGTAGAATCAGCCTTGATGTTGATGAGTATCCAGAGGGTTTGTTCATTGCGCGCATCACACTCCGGAGCCCAAGCGTTGATGAAGTTGATGCCCTCCTCCAGCTCATGGTTGGTCGGGTTCCACTTGTCCTTTGCCGACGCTGAACTTGGAGGATTTCTAGGTTGAAGAGAGTACCATCGCACCTGAAAGCCACCTAGGCGGCAGAGCAATAATTGGATGCCCTTCTTGATGTTCCAGGGGCCTGGGCGAAAGACGGGAACATAGCCAGTACCGCCACACAGGGCCTGAGCAACTTGAAATGTGACCTTGCGTGGCAAGTACACTACCTTGATGACATCCACTACATCATTGGCGGAGTGGCTCCAAACATGAGACCCTGTTCACTGCATCAACACTTTTTTCAGGGTGACAAAGAGGGAGCACAATCCACCCTACCTACAACCGCTCACGCTGG